AATGGTCGAACTGGGTGCATTGCAGGTGAGCACCATATTCCTCATGAGCAGTTGATCATAGTGTGGCTCCCTTAGGTTGGCGATCGTATTTTACTCCGCACTGGTGACTCAATTCCTGTAGATGGAGTAGTGGTCGAGGGCACTGCCAGTGTTGATGAGAGTCGACTCACAGGTTGGTCATGTTGGTCGTTTTGGAAAACGGCAGAGACTTTTTTCATGTAGGAGAGTCCATTCCTGTCTATAAGAGTGCGGGTTCCAAAGTTTTCAGTGGCACGCTGATCGTTCAGGGAGCTCTGCCTAGTGTGGAGGTGAGTGGCTATACAGCAAACGATTAAAGTGCGTGAAATAGACCGACGATTATCAGCATACATCGTTCTCAACAGGAATCAATGTCTGTAGGTCAGCGGCAGAGTTGGGCGTACCCAGAAGGTTACCGATCTGATACAGGAAGCTGCTGGTCAGCGCACTCCTCTCCAGGACTCAGTCGAGACTTTTGCAAAGTGGGCCTCCTTCGGAAAAATAGAGAATAGGTCCTTGCTGCTTCTCCCTTTCTTCACTTGGGGTGTGTCGTAGGTATTATACACCATTAGTGGTCTTGCTCTCATTCATAACGGGAGTCTACTGCTGGTCACTAGAGCGTGGCGTCATTGTCCTTGTTGCTGCATGCCCATGCAGTATAGTCATGGCTGCTCCTGTTGCATACATGACGGCAATCGTAACCGGTGAGATCCTTGCTCATGGTTCATCGCGGTCTATAGTCTGCCCTGGTAGGACTTCGGCATTATTTTGGTACTGTGATCAAGTCGCCCTCTGTTATCGAGAGCTTAGCCAAGCTCGAGCTCGTCGCCTTCGATAAGACTGGCACTTTAACACAGGGTAAGTTTCCGGTTACTTCTCGCGATCTCAAACTTTACTGCTGAATCTGCTTCCCGATATGAAAATGGCGTGGTATTGATTGCGGTTCTCCCCAGGCGAACATCGCGTCACGTCAATAGAACTTTTCCCCGCAGCTGAGGGTCTCGAGGAAAGAGGAGCCTTGAGACTAGCAGCAGCTGTCGAGTCGCTGAGTCACCATCCCCTGGCCAGCGCTGTTGTCAACTACTACACGGGTAGGCATGCCTGATATGTCTCAAGTCTATCTCATCCCAAGGAAACGTCAGGTTGCACTGCCTCGTATGTCGGCGGCTCGTCCTCGCTGCCTTCGGTTGAAAACTACAGAACGCTGGACGGCAACCTTGGGGTCGCTGGATCGGTCGAAGGCAAAGTGGGAACCCTTTACGTGTTGTTAAACCGAGTTCCATTGATCAGGAAGTAATGGTCGGCGGTCCTGCTATGTTGGAGAGTTTCCGAATCCCTTTTGAGAAAATCTCAAGAGGGGCAGTTGCCTCAATATTCGTTGTTATCGACGACCAGGTGAACATTTTTCGCAATTTGTGCCCTGTGGTTCTCCCAAGTTGGATCCATCTCAGGTCGCCCT